AATCCACATATGAAAAGGAATTGTATGCCTTAGTTGTTGCACTAGATACCTGGAAACACTACTTGTTATGGAGGCACTTCACTGTCTACTCTAATCACTCTACTTTGAAGTGGATCAAAATTCAACCCAAACTCTGTGATAAGTTGGTAAGATGGTCCGCTTTCCTGGATACGTTTGACTTTGAGGTGAAAACCATCAAAGGTAAGTCGAATGTGGTTGCGGATGCTTTGTCCAGGCGTGCAGATTTCTTTGGAACCATTGTCTCCTATCTCGATATCGGAAATGAACTGAAAGAACAGATCCGCCAGGGTTATAGGAGTGATCCTATTTGGAGTCCTATCATTGAAACTCTACGAAAGAACCCTGAGTTGTTTCCGGAATATAGAGTGACTGATGGCTTACTCTTCTTGCTGGATAAAACCTAAGAAAGATTGTGTGTTCCTCACCTAGAACCAATCAAGAGTTTAATCATTGGGGAATGTCATGATGCGGAAGGTCACTTTGGTTTTAAGAAGACGTATGCTGATGTGCGTGAACATTTTGAGTGGAAAGGAATGAAGGAAGATGCACTAACGTATGTGCGGACTTGTCTTGTCTATCAAAGGAACAAGCCCTCACATGAGAATCTGATGGGACTATTGCGACCGCTGCCTATTCCAAGTGAGCCATGTGAGTCTATTTCTATTGACTTTATGAGTCTCACTAAGAGTTGAAACGACAACAGTCAGGTAATGGTTATCGTCGATAGATTCTCTAAGTATGCTATGCTCATTCCTTTGCCTGTTGAAGCTAGAACCGAACTAGTCATTCAAAAGTCTCAAATGCGATCGGTCTCCGAGTATGGATTTTCCAAAACCATCGCATCAAACAGAGATGTTCGGTTCACCAGTCTACAATGGCAGAAGTTGATGGAAGTCTATGGAACCAGATTGACCATGTCGTCAGGCAGACATCCTGAAACGAATAGTCAAACTGAGCAAATGGATCGTCTTTGTCAAAAACTTTTGCGAATGTATGTCCGACCTGACCAAATCGATTGGGATGAGAACTTGCTTAAAATTGCTAGTGCCTACAATAACAATATACATACTGTTACAGGAAGAACGCCTAACGCACTGCATAAAGGATGGAAGTCGAGGCATCTCATTGATGCATTAACATGGGACCAGGTTCAAAGGCTACCCCAAGAACACGAGAATTCACAATTTTATACGAAGAAGATATCAAAAAGGTTAAGGAAAACATACAGAAAGTCCAACTACAAATGATTGAACAAGCTAATAGACATCGCCGACCTTCACAATTCCAAGAAGGGGACTTTGTCTGGGTTAAGTCAAAAGAGTTTTCCTTAGAAGAAAATGTGGCTCAGAAACTGCTACCTGTCTACTACGGGCCCTGGGAATTTCTCAAAGTAATTGGAGGAGAAGACGGACCTTCCTATCGTATAGATGTACCTCCACATCTAAGGACATACCCTGTCTTCCATGCGTCTAAGCTGCTATCCTATGTAGAAAGTGATAACTTTCCAAATAGGCCATCTATGTTTCCACCCTCTATGAATGGAGGCTATGAAGTTGAAAAGATATTGGAACATGGCTATTTTTCTACAGGTGGCAGAGGACGACCTCAAAAGCAATACAAGGTAAAGTTCAAGTCCCAACCTCCATCTGAAGCCAGATGGTATAGTAGGAAAGAACTCCTACCTACTGCTCCTCACATTGTTGCTGCATATGAACGTGGGTTAAGTAAGAATTAATGTATTTTCTGCGATGGAACTCGAAAATTGGGCCGGCAGGAATGCAATAACCCATGCCATATGTCTTGTGGAAAAACTGAGGGCCAACTCGGCCGCCCTCAGCCCAGGCCGAAACGGGGGCAAAAGGAACCCTACACGAGGACTCAGGGCCTGGACGTGTGACAATTGACTTTGGTCAACTGTTGTGACCCCAACAGTCAAAGTCCACAGTTTCCCAGCCCAGGCCGCTGGTCAAGCACACACACTTGTTTGTATGCAGGTACCCAGACAGCATCAGGTCCAAGGAGAAGTCTGCAACTGTACAATCCGGGCCCTCGGCTGTGAGTCAATCTGGACGACTGTGGGAAAAGCACCCGAGGCCAGACAGCTTCGACAACT